ACGATGACATATGGCAACGGAGACGATCTGTGCAACCTGCGGAGACCCTGTCGAAGACATGAACAATGTGTTTCGAACATGTTCAGCTGCTCTACTGAGTTGGAAACAGGTTTTACGTCCAAACGACCTTGATGAATTCCTCAATGAGGATATACATGCATGGATTGCCAGCAACGTATAACGTAAGGAATACCCAGCTACAAATATAGCGAACCAGAATTTTTTTTGGGTACTGTTCTTTGTGTAGGTTTTTGATTCATTTTTCAAAAGAATATTTTCAGGTTTTTTCTCGTTGTTTTTGAATTGTTGGCTACATTCGTTAAGCGGCACGTTGAGTCCAAGCTCGATCGTTTTCATGGTTTTAGTTTCTCAGTCCCGATCGGTATACTCTCGTTGGAACCCTGCCGGTTCCCGGAATTTGAATGGCGTCGGCCGTTTTGGCGAATTGTAGTGAGTCAAATTGGTCACTTCCGCTGAATGCCAGTGTCGATTTCATGGGCAAAGTTCCATTTACAGCTAAAAAAACCAATCCCTAACCCTAAATTTAACAAGAAGGGTCATTTTCAACACCAATTGACTCAGCCCGACGATGTTTCTGGCCACATTGTTGATGATCACCTCGTCGTTACACATTCTGCGGCTTCAGATGATGCGTCGTCGATTAATCGTAAGATAAATGATTTCATCTCGGGCAGTTATGTTAGTTTTCCTGTTAGCTCTTATACGAGGAAGGCGTTGATTGATCTGAAGAGCTAGTTGGTTTCAGAGCTGGAGCAGATTCGTGAATTGATAAACCAAATCTAGTCAAATAATTTTCAGGCTAGATCCAGCTCCAGGAAGAAACCCTTACCCAAAAAGAACACTGGCAACAAACGGCCTTTGCCCCCAAATTTCAGCAAAGAATTGAAGAGATTGAACCCTCAGGGGAACGGGAAACCATCGAAGGCTTATTTGATGAAAAACTGTTCCCAAATCTTGAGCAAACTAATGAAGCACAAACATGGGTACATCTTCAATTCGCCAGTGGATGTAATTGGGTTGGGGCTTCACGATTATTATGCTATTATAAAGAATCCGATGGATCTGGGCACTGTTAAATCGAGGTTGGCCAAAAACTTTTATGCGTCTCCGTTGGATTTCTCGGCAGATGTAAGGCTGACATTCAAAAACGCCATGCTGTATAATCCGAAGGGGCATGAGGTTTATGCGTTGGCTGAGCAGCTTCTTGCGCAATTTTTGGAATTGTTGTCCATTGAGTTTGAAACTGGAGGAGCAAGATGATCCTCAAGAAATAGAGTATTATGAAGAAGAGTTGCTAGCTAGTTCTTGGGATCATGGGGAAGCTGAGAGGATGAAGAAAGATTGGGAAATTGATAAGGATGATTCGATTAACATTGAGGCAAGATCTGATAAAGTTGGTGGGATGTTGAGCCATGTTTCAAACTCCAATCCACCGCCAGCACAGATGCAGTTGCAGCAGGAGCCGCTGCCAAGGGTGGCTTCTCAGTAAGGGCGCTACCAGTTAAGCCAGTGAAGTTGCCTAAACCTAAGGGCAAGGACCCGAACAAGAGGGAAATGACTATGGAGAAGAAGTAAAAGTTGGGGATTGGACTGAGCTTGCCACAGGAGAAGATGGACAATGTGGTTCATATTATAAGGAGAAGGAATGGATATTTGAGGCAGGATGAGGATGAGATTGAACTCGATATCGAGGCAATGGACACAAAGACTCTGTGGGAGTTGGATCCGTTTGTCACTAATTACAAGAAGATGGTCAGCAAGATCAAACGTCAAGCGTTGTTGTCAAACAATATTGCATCCAATGACAGTAATCAGGTAAGCATGAAGTACATTGTGGTTACTTTATACTAATTTGATGGATTTATACTTGTATCAATACACTAACTGGTGAATGGAAAATTATAGAGAGAAGAAACTGTGGAGAAGATGGATGTTGCAACGGAGATGAAGAAGTCGAAGAAAGCTGATGCTGGAGATGATGATGTAGATGTTGGGGATGAAATGCCAATGAGCAGTTTTCCATCGGTGGAGATAGAGAAAGATAAGGATCGCCGTAGTAGCAGTTCCAGCGGCTCTAGCAGTTCAAACAGTGGTTCTTCATTGTCTAGTGGTATTACTCAACAGAATTCCATATCTTGGTGTGATGGTTCAAATTTTGAGGAAACTTTCTCATATTTGCAAGGCTAATTTTATAGATTCGGAATCTGGGAGTGATTCAGATGGTGACGATGCTCGGTCATAAGGCCTCGGTTTAAAGCACGAGTTCATTTCAAGTTTTGGGAGCTTGTCAGCTGAGATTTTTGGGGAGAAATCCACGAGGAGTGGGAACTTAGATGAGGTGGATTTACTAACAAATTTAAAAAGTTAGATATGGAGTCTCTGCGTTAAATGCTGAATGTGTGGACCTTTTTTTTTTCATTTTGTTGAATGTACAGGGTGGGTTGTTTAAGTGTATTGTGTGAGTTATGTAATGGTTGCTCCCTTTCCAGGAAAGAAACGGACGAAATTGGAAAGTGGGGGCATCATCATTGCTAGAAGAATCAATGAAATTGTGGGTTTCGGCAAAATGGAGTCAAAATTGTTGAGAGATTGGTAGAAGATATTTTTGTAGGAAAAAATAGTTTTTTTTTTCTTTTTTGGGTTTGGGGGGGGGGTAGAAAGTAGTTTTGTACGCATGGAACCCCAATACTTTGATTTTCAGCATCAATATAGAGGCGTGTACAATTTCAGAGCTTTTGCTTCTTTAACGGGTCGTTGGTACTTGCTAGCCATGTACGTTAGCTGCCTTAAATGCAATTTTGTTGAAGTTTGCATATTCAAGTTTTCCTTGCTTGACGAGATATTACGACTGCAATGAAGACGTGCTTTTGATGCATATTCGAATGTAGGCGTTAGGATATCGGTATTTGGCTCTTATTACAGTTTGATGAATGGGACATGTACAAGGCCTGTGTGTGTTTGTATATGAAACTTTCCTACATGTACAAGGTTTGTATATGATTCGGCAATTAATCCAATCTTGAGCAATACAAATGTTCCGTTGGCAATCATAGTTTTATCTTTAATCCTAATTAAAAGTTCGGGATGTTGCTAAATCTACCATCGGGTTTAGGGTTTCATTTTGGACGTTTTAAAGAATTATCATCACTTTTGCATCTATTCTCGTCTTTATTTGTTTGAACAAACATTTATTAGGTCAACAAGTACAAACATAATAGATTTAGATGCCGACGACAGTGACAGACTAATAACAAGGCGGGGTGAGGAAGCTTCCTGTTTCTAACCCATTTATATCTTCACCTTTGTAACAATGGTAAAGACCCCAAGTGAAAAAGAGTATTAACTTAATACATTTGGTTTTTTTGTTACTCCGTAGTTAAATAATGAACGGTCGTTTTAACATTCAAGCAATGCAAACGAGTGTAACCAACGTATGGCATCCTATAGGAGGCATATGATCACATAATTAGGAGAAGGAAGATATCTTTTTGGGCTATACCATGTTATTGATGTCGGCAGGACCGAATTGGAGGGTCCTTGATAGTTGATACTTTAATCCGCACTTATTAGACTACAAGAGAATGACGATGCGAAGATGATTCCATTGCAGACGACACATTTTTGGGTTTGAGTTTTTATCCACTATGATACATCGGCTGTTAATCTTGGATTTGTTCAGGCAAGATTAAGGGTTGATATAAAACGAAAAAAAGAAAATTGCTCTGTCGAATGGATAATACGGTTAGGTGTTTTTCAGTATGGAAAATTAAAGTTTTTTTACGTGGAAAACTAGGATATGGAGAGAAATTTTGTCCCCACAAGACAAGAATACCCTTATTCGTCAATGGGATGTCACTTTAAAAGCTCCTCTGAAACAGAGGAATATTGAGGAGAGTCCATGGCTGAGAGAGGAAGTACAAGGGAACTACACAAACCATGAAGGAGGATTAACATGCAATTAAGTAAACATGACAGGCAATCAAGGGAACTATAATGAATCAATTAAGAATAGAACTAAGATTACAAAAGCCAGTAATAAAGTAAACAAATTGATTTTTGCTAATTATAAATTAATTATCAACTTTATTAAATAAATCTAAAAAAAATCATTTATTAAAAAATAACCTCAAAATAATATTAATTGAGAAAATACTAGTAGGACTACCTCACGTTATACAAAAAATATTATAAGGACCTTGCGTTTTATTTGAAGCGAGATCCATCAACTATTTTAGATAAAATCATTTAATTTTTAGATAAATACATGTAACTCACTTTTCGTAAAACACGACATCTTAATCGCTCTTTACCGTACGCGAGATTTGGGGAACATTTTTCTAAAAGAATTGATTGGGGTTATTTTCATAAAAATTGTTGAGAATTATTTTTTCAATAAAATAATAAAAAGGGTTTTCTTTCAACCAGAGGGTGACATATGTCACTCTTTAATTGGTGGAAATAAATATATTAAATTAAAATAGAGTTAATTTTCCAATCGAATGGTGATAGTGGCATGACATGTGGAATCATTCGATGGGAGATTAAATTTATTTTAATTTATTAAAAGTATGACTAAATTAAAAGAATATATAAATAATAGAGATCAAATGTGTGATTGTATCAAAATATTTAATCATTTTTAGTTATCTCGGGTGACCACATCTTAATTAAATAAAAATGGAATGGACCATATCCTATATTTTCTAAAATCAGTGACAAAAATGGATAAAATAAAAATATAAGTGATCATCTACGTAGTTAACCCTATACTTTATACAATTACTAATTAGTGTTTTTAAGAGTTGGTTTTTCATTTTCGAAAGTTTTTATCATTTATGGTGGAGACTTTGGGCCGTTGTTGTTTGACCCAAAATTTCATTTAGGCTATCAACCCAAAGATCAAGAAGACAATCAAGATCAAATCCGCTACGGCGCCGTCGGCGTGTAAACCACGTTTTTCAACCGAGATCAGCCAATTCACAGTAACTTTGTAGTGATTTTTAATCTTCCTGCTTCTTACACTCAAAATCAATCACTCTTCGAGGAGGAAGAAGAAGAAGAAAAGCCAGAGAAATGGAAAAGTTGAAGAAGAAAATAAGATCGTTTTCGTTTTGGAATTGGGTGATAGCCTCGATCATCTTCAGATTGATTCTAATCTACTTCCCCAAGAACCTCAATCTGTGTTCTCGTCCCGAAGTTTCCACTCCGCTCACCAGCTTCCGCCGCTGTAATTTCCGTTCCTTTAGTATAAAATCAATTTCCCTCTTCTTTTTAATTATTTCTAGCTTAATTTCTCCTCTTCGTTTATTGCTTCTTTTGAGTGCAGTGGCCGAAGGTTACTGGTTAAAGCAGTCGTCTATGTCTCCTTATGCAGGTTTTTCTTTCTCTTTTTTTCTTTGCCTGACATTTTCAAAATTTTCGTGTCAATTGGATAAAAAAACAAGAACTGTGCTTGATTTCTTTATGGGTTTTATGTTTTTCAGGATCTATGTATCATGGTTCACCTTTGTTATTGTCACTTCTCGGACCTTTAACCGTCAAGAGGTGCCCTTCAGCTCATTGATAGAGTTCAATCTATAATTGTTTTTTCCTCTTTTAATTTATGGTTCTTAATGATTTAATAATTTGTTTTTTTGTTGGTTCAGAATTGAAGGACAGCCTAACCATCTTTTGTACAGGTACAATCTTTTCTTTTACTTACATTAGTGATAATTTTGACGTGTTCAAACTTTAAAGTTCTATTAAGGCAAAATGTTGAATAGGTTCTTTGTGGACTTAAGAGTATGTATGACGTTGTATTTTCTTTAAAAAAAATGTGTATTTGTTTTCTCAAGCACTTAACACCTACACATTTTTGGATACAGTTTGGTTTCTGTGATTGCAGATGTTGTTAGTGCGATGCTTATACGTGCTACAGGGCAGAATCTTCAGGTTGCCTATTTCGGTACTTTGAAATCGTTAGACCTTGTTAAACAAATCGAACTTTCAGGTAAATTATTTACTATGCATTTTTTGTAAGAGGGGAAATAACAGACTTCTGTATGCATTTTTCATGTATTTATATTTAAATGCATGTCTAAGTCCTCTCTTTTTCTTGTCCGAAACTGACGAATTTGGTTATTTTTTTTGAACCAGAGGTGCACTCTTCGGGGGATGTTGCTGCTCTTATCTATTTATGTAATCCTTTCACGATAGTTGCATGTGTGGGGTTGTCAACATCGCCAATTGAAAATATGGCTGTTATTTTGTGCCTTTATGGAGCATGTTCACGTAAGAGATTTTTAAAAGCTACAATATCTCTCCTGATAGAATAGTGTTCAAAGAAATGTATATCTCAAACATTGGCAACATTTCGTTTTTTGGATAGGTTTTGTAGCTATTTGTTGAGGAAGTGTTTATACGTGTGGTGCTGCATTTTATTGTTGCCATAAAACTTTTACATATTGTTTCTTTGGATCATTATTTGGTGAGAAATTTTCTATGGATTTGTCTGTTGGGATCTGCAACATATATAGGTTTGGTGTGTATTTTGTACCTTTCTTTCATAATTTGCTACTCATTAATGATCTTTCTGGATTGCAGGACTAGTTCCCTTGGCTGCTTTTGGGTGGGTGATTGCAACTCATTTGTCTCTTTATCCTGCTATTTTGATCATTCCGGTACACCTCTCTTTTGTTTTAGCTATTTGTATCCATAGAATTGCTTAACACACAAGATAGTTTTCATAATCCCTTGTTTAGTTTCCTCAGCATAAGTCAATCTCCAAGAAGTACATTCACTGTGTAGTTTTCTCGCAGGTGATCTTTTATTAGGATATGGTCCAGACGCTCCTCCGAGGAAATTGTTTCTGCAAAGGCACCAACAAAAAGGATTGTCGAGTCAGTCGAAGCTCCCTCCTGGTTTCTCATGGGGATCAATTATTCATTTTGCATTTTGGGCACTTTTGTGGTCAGTCTATGTGTTAGTCCTTTGTGGCATTTCCTTGAAACAGTTTGGTGGTTTATGGGAGATGTTTAAAAGGTACCAATCAAATGCCATACATTTCTCTTTCTTATTGTATTTGTATTGAGTTAGGGTAAAATTTGACGGTTAACCCAAGAATTAGTTTTTTTTTTGTTTAACCCGAGAATTAGTTTGCTCGAGTTTTATTTTTTATTTTCAATATTGTAAACCTCTTAGGAATAGTTGACTCTTTATTTGCTAGCCCTATGACTTTTATTTACTTTATATGAAATAGCGGGAAACAACTGATTATGAATGCTTGCAACAACCTTTTAATTTGAAACCAATCTGAGAAGTTCCGTGCAGCATGAAAATTTATCCTCAATGATTTTTCAGAACTACGAGCAGAATAATTAGGTCATTTGGCATTTGATTGCTTTTGAGTTAATCCATACTTTATCTTCTAAGGCTGTAATATAAAAGATTTGACTGCTCATTCTGTGTGGCTGGTTTTGTAGTACATACGGATTCATCCTCACTGTGGAAGATTTGTCCCCAAATGTTGGTGTCTTATGGTGAGTTCAAATTTATCTTTGTGATACATCATAAGTTGATCATCACTGACAGTTTCATGTCCCTGATATGTTATGGCAGGTACTTCTTTGCCGAAGTTTTTGAATTTTTCAGGAACTTCTTTTTGATAGTTTTCCATGTCAATATTTTATTTATGATATTGCCATTAGCCATACGGCTTCACCATCGACCCTGTTACTTGGCTTTTGTATACGTTGCCATATGTTCCATGCTGAAGTCCTATCCATCAGTACGTTCTCATTGTATCTTTTTGGTTCAATTTTTTCTTTGTAGCTAATTTATGAAAAATTTAGATGCAACACAATCAACTTTATATATGCTACATGAGCTAAATTAGTCACATACCTGCTGTCTACGATAATGTAGTTGGTGCAATCAATTAGGTCCTCAAATTGTGGCTTATACTCACTCATTTGTGCTTTAATATTAATTAGGTTGGAGATTCAGCATTGTACTTGGGTTTGTTGGGTTGGTTTGTTAACGAATTATCAGGCAAGTTAATGGAATGTTTTTCGATATTGAATGGAATTTATCATTGTTTCGTATTTTAAGCTTTATCTCTGCCTTCAGATATGCAGTTCTCTCTCTTCCTCTTCTGTGGATATGTTGGGGTTTCTCTTCTCAGCCCTGTCATGCACAACCTATGGATATGGAGGGTACATCTCTTGATTTTTGATGCCCAACGAGTAGAAGTCTATAATTCTTTAGTACCTTTGTTGCTCTGACTCTTCATGTACTCTTGAAGTACCTATGCTCAAACCTGTGTCCGACCTATTTTTGGACATGCGTATGGGGATATGACCTTCTAAGGACTCTCCAAATACATGGAAAAACTTGTCAAAGATGAACATACCCATGTTGGACACACTTGCATACGAGTCCGAGTAACATAGCTTAGTATTGCTATTGACTTGCTGAAATTTACAGGGCACTGGCAATGCAAACTTCTACTTTGCAACCGCTATGGTTTATGCTTGCTTGCAGGTGAGTTATTTCTATTTTCTGATTCATTGGGTTTTTTTAATCTGTAACTTGATATCAGGTTGTCAAAAAAGTCGCATCTTTCCCGAATTCCTACCAAAATTTTCACAGTTCAATCATTTAAATGACTTGTATGGACATATTCAACTTTATTCAATGCTTGTTATTGGTGCAAACAAGTAAAATCAATAACGAAAAACCCGATATTCATGTTTGAGCTTACCATTTTCGAGAACTTGGAGCCAATTTTAATAATTGATTCTATCCCTTTGGCCTTGTTTTGCAGATTGTCTTAGTCGTCGAGGGTGTAAGTGCCATGTTAAACCATGACAGAAAGTTGAGAAGCCTAATCCTCGACAAGCCCCGAGACGCCAAATCTTGAGTTATTTTGACCATGCCACATTTTTCCGGTTCTACCACGAAGATTCTTCCCGGCAGGTTGGTGCCACCGTATCTTTGCTCTCAGCACTGTTGTTTTTGCATCAAGATCATGATCGCATGGGATTCATCGGAACTGATCCTACATTCAATGTTTGTTTCGTATGAATGGTTATGATAAACTGAAAGTAGTGAGAATTTTCTATCACCATTAAAGTCATCAAAATTCCTTCAAAATTGTTGTTAAAACTTCAACTTTTCAATAGAAAGTTTGATTCTGTAACATGTTAAAAATGGTAAATTTATAATTTGACTCGAGAACTCTCTCTCAAGTCTTACCTCTCTTTTTATCTAATTAACATGAATTACCAATTCAGTGACTAATATGTAATAAATTTATAATGTTAGTGTCTGAAATGTAATTTTTTAAAAATGAATTATCAAAATAAGATAGACAAAAAATTAAAGTGAATTCGGGTGTAATTTACCAAAAAAAAGAATTTATTTAAATAAAATCATAAATTTGAAGGTTTTATTAATATTTATTTATTGAAGTTAGGTTTCGTTACTATTTGAGCCAACCGTAACATAAATGAATCCAACTCATAAATAAGGGTCGATTAGGGGAAGCGACCTCAGCAAAATGCCACGTCAACCCAATTAGTATCGTAAATAACGTAACCCATAATTAAGGGCAAATTCAACAAGCCACCTCAGCACAGGACCATATGCCCCCTTTTTTTACCTACAAAATTCTATAAATATTCTCAAGCTTTTGCCTTGCAATTTATGTACATATTTTTCTCTTTATATAATTATGGTTGGTGGGAAGAGATTTGGCGTTCTACTTTGCGCCGAGGATTCTGATTATGTTAAGAAGAGATACGGTGGTTATTTTGGCGCCGAGGAAGGCGAGACCTGTGACTTTTTCATGGTGGCCAAGGGTGAATTCCCCGACGACGATGCGAAGTCTTCGTTATAACCGGGAGCTGCAACGATGTTCACGCCAACCACGCTTGGATCTGTCGTTTGGTTTCTTTGTTGAACAAGCTGGATTCGTTGAAGAAGAAGGTTCTCGGGATTTGCTTTGGTCACCAGGTAAATAATTTTAATCTAATCAAAATTTCATCACCTTCTTCGTCTTTTTTAAATGCTATTAGCATTGAATTCGTCAATCGAAGAGTTTCGTGTTTTTCAAGTGTTCGATATACTGAGCCTGAACTCAGTTTTGGCATCACTAACGTCTCACTGTACAGTGTCTAAATTAACTAATTAAGAGCTGTTGAGACTTTACAATGACCAGTAATGAGCTTAACCCTGCCCACATTTCCTTTTTTTTAAGGGGCATGCTTATTTTTATATTTTGTCTACTTTTATTCATTTATCTAAAAATATAAATATATGGTCATTTTGTTTTATATTTAATTAAGATATAATTACTTTCATTTTTATTTAATTAAGATGTAGTCATCATGAGTTAACAACAGTTAAGGTAACGTGGTATTTTGGTATAATCACATATTTGATCTCTGTATATTCTCTTAATTTAGTCTTATTTTTAATTAATTAAAATAATTTAATCCTTCAATTAAATGATACCACATATAATTCGTGTCATCACGTATTACCATTCGATTGAAAGACTAACTTTATTTTTAATTTAATATATTTATTTTTCACTAATACTTTAAAAAGTTAATCATCCAACCGAATGATGACACGTGACATCATTCAATTGAAAGATTAAATTCAACGGTCATGTATTATATTTTTTTAAATCAGTAAAAAAAATGACAAAACACATTTTATCTCTATTATCTCCTTAAAAGTATTAGGAGTATTTCTTATTAGTATCAAGTCTATTATTAAGAAAAATAAATTATCATTTATGATAAAATTCAAACTAATACTATAGTATTACTTTTACTAGAGCTGCTTAATTCACAATTAATTACTAGATAAACAATACTGAGAGAATTTCTCCCGAAGAAATTGAAAACACCACACAATAAGCGTATAGCGAAAACTCTGGCATGTTATTTTAGTCCCCATGCGTCCCCAAGGCACTCCAATTTCGTCGTACGGCAGCAGTCTCCTTTGAATTTGGAGGCTTCAATTGTCAACATTTTGGACCACTATCTTCTTTTTATTAATAATGGTACGAGTGTGTTATATATTAATTTTAATTGAGTAAATTACATATCTAAATTATTAGTTTTAGTACTTAAACTTTTAATTTTTTCAAAATTATATCTAAAGTTTATTTTTAATTCATTTTAGTATCCCACCATTAAAAACTTTAATTTTTGTTTCATTTTAGTATCCGTTTAACGTTAAGTTTTGAAAAAATAATGAAAGTTTAGATATTGAAACAAACAAAAACTGATAGTTTAGGTACTAAACGCGTTAGATTTTTAATAACAGGGTACTAAAGTAAAATGAAAACTAAATGTTAGGTATAATTTTTTTTAAAAAAAATGAAAGTTTAGATACTAAAACAGACAAAAATTGATAGTTTAGGTACTAAATGTATAATTTGCCTATTTTAATTTATGTAATTATTTTTAAATGATACTATCTGATAAATTTTCTATTAGAATTTTGAATTGAACATGTATATTGAAAAAGATTTAAGTTGAAATTATAAGGTGAATAGTTAGAGGTGTAAATTAGTTTCTCACATGTAGAAGTGTCATTTTGAGCATGGTTGGATTTCTCATTTTAGAAGGGACCATAAGTCTAGGTTAAATGTGCAAAATTTTCTCACATGGTATAAGTTGAGACCTTTATTGCACATGGGGTTAGGTTGCTTCAGTGTTAAGTGCCATTACAAAACAACTCATTTCTCTGAGATCTTTATATATATTGTTGATAATGCTGACAACGCAGATTGGGTATTCTCAGCCTCTAGTTTTAATGAACTCATAGTAAGCTGCTGAGGTGTGCGGTTTATTGGATTTTCTATTTGGAAAATTGGGCAAGATTGCTTGGACGAGGCATTGAGAAAACTAATTGGCTCGCATAATATTTCGTTAGAATTATTTTTGAGATAGCGTGATCGTTACAATATTGGAGGAGACGTCAATAACATAATACGCTTTTATTTTATTTTATATGCAATTGGAATATTAAGATTACCATAGGAACAAAGCAGAAGACGCGTTATGGTTGTTGTTCTTCCCGAAGACACACTATATTATCGACATCTCATGACTAACACTATAACATTCACACTAAATCAGAAAATAAATCCGATGACACCTTATATAAACTAATAATTTTTTTGACTGCCTACATGAGCAATTTTGCCAATAATTTGTTTGTATATTATACTTCTTGAGTGTGTTAAATCAATAAGATAGAAGCTGAAGTTAGCTATTATGCGTATGGCGACAAATAAGCAATTTGTTGTTGCTCATTGGATCAGATTCCGAGCCGTGCACGGGGAGGGAAAAGGGGTCGGGCCATCTCAGGATGGGATATCGGGACCACCACCGTTCATTTATCACCGTCTTCATCGGAACTCTTATGATCCCTGAAAATCTCGACCACTCTATCCATCATCGAGTGCCATCGATACGAGGTTCGAATTCGAAAAACTCTTGATGAATCGTATGATGCAAGTTTCGAATCGTGGTTCAGAACATGTTTTTTTTTTTATTTTGGCTTTATCTTGTTAAACAGGTACTGGAAGTTGCACCGGGAGCTGAAGTGATGGCATGGTCGGAGAAAACAGGGGTGGAGATGTTTAGATACGGGGATCATATCATGGGGATTCAAGGTCACCCTGAATACACCAATGACATTTTGCTTCACCTCATCGATCGTCTTTTGCACAAAAGTTTTATTGCGGTAAATTTCCAATCTTCAACTTTTTTTAGGGTAAACTACACATTTAATATCAAAACTATTAATTTTAGTTCGTTTTAACACTTAAACTCTCATTGTTTTCAAAATCATACCTAATGTTTGTTTTTTCTTCCATTTTAGTACCCACCATTAAAAACTTAACGCGTTTAATACCTAAATTATCGGTTTTGGTTCATTTTAGTACCCAAAGTATCGGGGTTTTTTTTTCAAAACTTAATGTAAAATTGTGAATAGGGGTATTAAATTGAAACGAAAACTAAATGTTAGGTATGATTTTAAAAAAATTAAAAGTTTTGAGACAAAAATGGATAAAAAATGATAGTATAGGCACTAAACGCATAATTTACCCTTTTTGTGTAAATTATTAAACTGGGATATGTACAATAAAATATATATTTAGAGATAACTCTTAACCATTTGAAATTAAACACTTACACCCTGACATTCGTGGTGCTTGAATCTATAACCTAAAAAAACAATTATTTTACTATCGAGATTGTTTCGTTCGTGCACCATAAAATTAACAACAAATATGTGTAGACATAGACGTTTCACATGAATTGAAGAATTTGAACGAGCATGGTCGTAAATTAACGTCATTTGAATTTAGATATCAAATACAAATATGCTTATAAATATGTGTTGAACATAAATGTTCGACAAACATTTTAAAAAAAAAGTTCAATTTAGTGGTTTAATAGTTTAAATGAAGAATCAGAGTATTGATAATGCAGGAATCATTATGCTGAAGAGTTGAAGGCGAAGCTGGGGAAAGTTGAGCCTGATAAAGATGCATGGAAGAAATTTTGCATTAGCTTCCTCAAGGGGAGATTGCCATAAACTTTGTTCTTTTAAAAATTTAGGTTTAATATAACATTAAACCTTATATTATGGTCTATTTTTTACTTTGCCTCGTGTATAATATTTTTTTTCTTTGTTAGCATCTGTATTATCATTGTAATTTCAATTACCCCCTATATTATCATCTTATGTTAATTAACTATAGGGTAAACTACGCATTTATTACTCAAACTATCAATTTTGATCCGTTTTAATATCTAAACGTTTAATTTTTCAAAATCGTACATAATGTTTAGTTTTTGTTTCATTTTAGTACCTTGCTATGAAAAAGTTAACGTCTTTATTGCCTAAACTATTAGTTTTGACCCGTTTTAGTACCTAAACTTTTAATTTTTTTTCCAAAATTTAACGTTAAATTTTGAACAGGTGTGCTAAAATGAAACAAAAACTAAACTATAGCTATGCTTTTAAAAAAAATTGAAAGCTTAACTACTAAAACAGATCAAAACTGGTAATTTAAGTATTAAATGCATAATTTATCTTTAATTATAGGATATATCTGCTGTATGTCACTATAACCCCAATTTGATTTTAGAATGTACTTGTTACAGTAGTAGCTTCCTAATTTACTATTGCTTTAACTCGGTCATAAAAATGAAGATTAGAAGGGATTTTAAATTTGAATTCCTACACTGATATCGGTGGGTGCGCCCTCCGTTTCCATGCACGCAGAGTTATCGTCCGACGTAAAATCATCGACACCGGCTCGCCGATCGACGGGGGTTCTACAAATCGGACAATTCGAATGCAATACATCCACATATCGATACAAGGAGCGTGGAACGAGTGGCTGCATCGATGGAGCTGTCGAACCACTTCATCATCTTCGAACCCCAACAAGCACACCACGCATTCTGCTCCATCGTCTCACTTCGACTCGAGCGTTCGGGGCAGCCCCAGTTCCTTGCTGAACTTGAACGACGAAGCTGAATAAGGGCTTAGGTTCAATCGGCGGGTCTCTCTGGAAAGAGCCGGTGATGATGATGATGGCCAATTTACGTGCACGACGAAGGTGAAAACAATGACTGCAACGGCGAAGGTTCCGATTATCGAAACAAGAGCCCAATAGATTAAGTGCTGCATTGTTTTGAATGGTACTGTAAAATAGCTTAAATATCAGAGAGAGCAAGGGGAATTTGGAAAATGGCGGAAATTTCCACCATTTTTGGGGTTTCTTCTTCTTTAGATAAGACAGGATCACAACCGCCGGACCAACAATGTCGTCGGCATTTCATGTTTATATTATTGTAGTGAAGATATTTGGTTTCATTGTTTAAAAAATTCATTCAATTTTAAAAACTATATGTATTCTTAGTTAATAAAATGGTTTAGGACTGAAAAAAATTAATTTATCGCCACAATTTTTGGAAATTTAGACTAAGCTTTAAATTTTTTGAACGTGCTTAATTAAATTCTTCTCATAATTTTTAAAAATTCTCATGAAGTCTTTCAAAATTAAATTTTAGTCGATCCCAATTTTTTTTAAAAAAAATATGAACTGAACCCTTCAATTTTTTTAAATTTTTTTTAATTTAAACCTATAATTTTTTTAAAGTTTTAAGTCGATAACTTAACTCTATCATCAAGTTCCGTCATTGTCGATTTCATATTCTACGGTTTAAAAATTAATAGAACAGTTGATGTAACATTTTTTATTCTTTTAATGATATGACATTACCTTTATAATAACATGTAAATATCACAGTTAAGTTTTTAACGATAGATTACTAAAGTTAAATATAAACTAAACGTGACATATAATTTTAAAAAATTAAATACCAAAAGGAATAAAAGTAATAGTTTTAGTGAACATTAGAGGCCATGGGGCATGGATGATAGAAACTACTTTTTGCTAGGCAGGCAAACAAACACGAACGAAAGTATATTCATGTTCGTTCGTTTAACTTTAACCGAACAAATGAACGAATACGAAAGTATATTCATGTTCGTTCGTTTAACTTTAACCGAACAAATATGAAAAACTAAACGAACCAAATTTATTGTTAGTGTTCATTTGTTAAAATGATAAACATACACATTTAAACGATCGTAAATGAACATAAACGAACGTAAACGAAAGTAAACATTCTCTCTTTTGATTTATTCTTGGCTTAAACTTGGTGCAAGGAATTGTTAAAGAAACAACTTATTTGTATCTTTATTCTATTGCTTTTACCCTTTAACACTTTGCCTACCCAATAGGTAAGGAACAGAATTCTCAATGCGCGATACTCTACCATGGGAATCACTTGAACTACTTACACATCCAACATTCATTCTGCATATAAACAGGCAACCTCGATGTTATCTTAGGCCAAACATTTCACTTTCTTTTTTGGTCTTAGCTCCAACAAATAAAAACTAAGTATCTTTTCTCCAAAATCATGGACTTCTCATTTCCTCCGTCCTCCAGACAATTGGAGGACTTCTTGCAGGAGAAGTTACATCGCTGTTGGGCGTGAAGGACCAAGTCGAGATTTGCAGAGGGAGCTGACATGGATGCAAAGCTTCCTGAAAAAAGCAGATGCGATGAAACTCGATGATGATATGTGCATCCGTGTTCGAAAAAAAATATTGCAAGAGTTGAGGCGACCATATCCTCATATTCCCGATTACGATGTTGTGGTGTTGGCTGATCATATCAACAACTTGATCCCGGTGCTTATTAATGAAGAAAGTGATTGCAGAGTCGTGTCAATACGGGGCATGGGTGGTCTGGGAAAGACCACTCTTGCAAAGAGAAAATATCACAATAGTCGAGTTATTCACCGTTTCGATCGCTTGGCTTTTGCTTTTGTCTCTCAGCAATGTCAGAAGAGAAAAGTTTGGGAAGACGTTCTTTCTGATCTTAAGATTTTAGATGAGGCCGACAGGAAAATAAAGGATGAAGCTTTAGCAAAGAAGTTGTATGACTTCTTGATGAACAACAAATGCCTAGTGATTATTGATGATATATGGAGCACAGAGGCATGGGATCTTCTTAAACCTGCTTTTCCAGTCCTAAGGGACACTAAAAGCAAGTTCTTGCTCACCTCTCGACACAATAAAGTGGTTTCGCATGCAGACAGAAGCAGTCACCTGTATGAATTGCAGTGCTTGAAGGAGAAAGAAAGTTGGGAATTATTCCATAAGATAGCATTTCCTCCAACAGGTAATTTATAGTGTTTTTCAAGAGAGGCAAACGCCTCACTACTCATGATGTGTTAGCCTTGAGTTATGATGATCTTCCCTCCTATTTAAGGCCATGTTTCCTCTACTTAAGTGTTTTTCAAGAAGATTACGAGATACGTGCAGATACGTTGATTCAATTATGGATTGCAGTCGGAGGAGCATGGAGGGGAAATCATGGAGGATGTTGCAGAACGTCATTTGGCTGAACTTACGGAAAGGTGAATGGTTCAAGTTGAAAGAAGTCCGACCTTAAAGATCAAAACCTATCGTATGCATGATATGATGAGAGAGCTCTGTTTGTCGATAGCAAAGAAAGAAAATTTTGTTCGCATCATCGACGATTCCTCATTTCCTTCGCCCACTAATCGAGCCGTTGGCAGAGTTGTTGCCCATCGACCCGTTCCCTTAGGACACTTCAAGAGTTCCCCTCTGAGATCAATGTTGTTTTTCAGCTACCCTTTTGACGAGTCTAACTCATTTCTAAGCCGAATGTACGAATACTTTGAAGAGAGTGTGCATAGATTGCTTAGAGTCCTCCTAAACTCTGAAAAATCTAATTATGGGGGAATGGTGTAAGTTACCCAGTGGTATTGGTAATCTCACCCACTTGAGGTTAGGGGTGTTGAAACTATTAAAATGGTTTTCAAGTTTGGTAACCAACTTTGAAAAAATGGTTTTCAAAGTTTGGTAAATGTTTCTTTGAAAATGGTTTTCAAAGTTTGGTAAATATTTCTTTGAAAAATAGTTTTTCAAAGTTTGGTAGATGTTTGTTGAAAAATGATAATGGGATAATCACAATTAATACCTAGGCTTTAGGGTATTTACAAGATTAAGTCCTTAAGTTTCAACTATAAATACCCTAGCTCATTTAGCTTCAAAACCATTCCAAAAATCATTTTTTTCTCCCAATACTAGAGAGCTTTCTTGTGAGTAGTGAGTGTTTTGTAAACACCTGTAAATTTTCTCTCTTAGTAAAAGATCTGCAGCAGTCCGGAGACATAAGCACAATTGGCTGAACTCCGTTATCAATTTCGGGGATTATTTTTCCGCTTTTATTTCGTATTCTCACTAATCTGGTAATAGGGAAATTACTTGTACTTGGTTTATTTCCCAACAACTGGTATCAGAGCTTTTGGTTGTGAATTCTGTCAATTTTTTGCGGGGTTACTATTCGGGTTACTATTCACGTGAATAGTGAATTTTGTGAATAGTGGAATTCGGTCGGCGATACGAGTTTGTCGACGGAGGTGTTCTAATACACAGCGGTTGGCGGAAATTGTCAGAAACGATCCAAACGAAGCCAAAGTCGAGTGGGAGCGATGGCTGCAGACGAAGGGAAGATGAAAATTGAAAAGTTCGATGGTGCGGACTTTGGATTTTGGAAGATGCAAATTGAAGATTTTCTATACCAGAAAAATCTATATCAACCCCTCTTAGGAAAACAACCAGAGGGCATGAAGAATGAAGACTGGGCTCTTCTCGACAGACAAGCCCTCAGAGTTATCCGACTGACGTTATCCCGCAATGTTGCTTTCAACATAGCAAAAGAAAAGACCACGACGGGTCTTATGACGGTTCTCTCCAGTATGTATAAGAAGCCATCGGCCTCAAACAAAGTTCATTTGATGAGGCGATTTTTTAATTTGCGGATGACGGAAGGGGCATCGGTGGCACAACACCTAAATGAACTCAACACAATCACAACCCAGTTGAGTTTAGTGGAAATTGAATTTGATGATGAAGTTCGAGCTTTAATTCTCTTATCATCTTTACCAGACAGTTGGAATGCTACTGTTACAGCAGTCAGCAGTTCATCGGTAAACAACAAATTAAAATTCGACGATGTTCGGGATTTGGTACTGAGCGAAGAAATTCGACGGAGAGAATCGGGTGAAGCATCAACCTCCTCAGCCTTGCACACGGAGTCCAGAAGGAGAACTTCAGAAAGAAATTCAAATCGTGGCAGATCGAAATCCAGAAGGGGAAAATCAAGAACAGGAAATAAAGATTTTACCTGTTATAATTGCGGCAAGAAGGGCCACTTCAAAAGAGATTGTCGAGCACCGAAGAAAAATACCGGTGTACAGGAATCAGCCAACATGATGGAGGAGACATGTGATGCTATGATTTTAAGCGTCAACAGTCCGATTGAATCATGGATTTTGGATTCAGGGGCATCTTTCCGCTCCACGCCATGCCAAGAAATCATGGAGAACTATGTTAGTGGTGATTTTGGGAAGGTTCATCTTGCTGATGATGAAACCTTGAAGATCGTCGGAAAAGGAGACATCCGACTAAAGCTGCCAAACCAGACCACCTGGAAGCTGACAGGAGTGAGACATATTCCTGGTCTCAAAAGAAATTTGATTTCTGTAGGACAGCTTGATGGAGAAGGATACAATACAACCTTTTCAGGCTGTGAATGGAAGATTACCAAAGGAGCACTCGTCATTGCTCGTGGTAAGAAGACTGGTACTCTCTATGTAACCTCAAATTTAGAGAATATCATTGCAGTAGCAGATGTTGATGGAAAATCAAACCTATGGCACCAAAGGCTTGGCCATATGAGCGAGAAAGGAATGAAGATACTTCTATCAAAAGGGAAGCTGCCGGATCTAAAGAATGTAGATGTCGGACTATGCGAGGATTGCATCTTTGGCAAACAAAAGAAAGTCAGTTTTGCAAAGATTGGCAAGACACTCAAGGCAGAAAGGTTAGAATTGGTTCATACTGATGTATGGGGACCATCCCCAGTTCCATCTCTTGCAGGCTCACTATATTATGTCACCTTCATCGATGATTCAACAAGGAAGGTGTGGGTTTATTTTCTGAAGAAGAAATCAGAAGTCTTCGATACCTTCAGAAAATGGAAGGCCATGGTGGAAAATGAGACTGGTTTAAAAGTCAAGCGGTTGAGGTCTGACGATGGAGGAGAGTACAGAGATAGTAGATTCAGAGATTTCTGCGCAAACAATGGGATCAAGATAGAGACAACAGTTCCCATAACACCGCGGCAGAATGGCGTAGCAGAGCGCATGAACAGAACTCTGAATGAACGTGCCAGAAGCATGAGGATACATGCCGGATTGCCCAAATTTCTATGGGCTGAAGCTATCAACACTGCAGCTTACCTGATCAACCGTGGGCCCTCAGTTCCTTTGGATGGCGGAATACCAGAGGAAGCTTGGAGCAAGAAAGAAATAAACCTTTCACACTTAAGAGTGTTTGGTTGTATTTCTTATGTACACATAAACTCTGCTGAAAGAAGTAAACTTGATGCCATGTCCAACAAATGCGTATTTGTTGGTTACGGTGGTGATGAGTTTGGTTACCGGTTTTGGGACTACGAAAATCGGAAGATCATTAGAAGCAGAGACATCATTTTCAATGAAAATGTGATGTACAAAGACATGTCAACCGCAGAATCAAGTAATACCGAAGCTGAAACAAAGGAATTTGCTGAGTTCGAGGAGATTTCTGGAAATGATGTTCAGATCAGTCCTGAAGCAGTTCAAGAGGAAGAACCAGGCACACCAGAACTAAGACGCTCCTCCAGAATTCCTAAACCAACCCAACGGTATTCTCCTTCTTTGCACTACTTGTTGCTGACTGATAATGGTGAACCAGAGTGCTATGATGAAGCAATGCAAGTGGAGGATTCAGTCAAGTGGGAGTCTTCCATGAAAGATGAGATGGGAGCAAACACTACAAAGCGAGATTGGTTGTCAAAGGTTTTCAGTAAAAAAGAAGGTATTGACTACAATGAAATTTTCTCTCCAGTCGTGAAACTGTCTACAATCAGACTGGTGTTGAAAATTGTAGCTGCAGAGAATTTACATCTTGAGTAGTTAGATGTAAAGACAGCTTTCCTTCATGGTGATTTGGAGGAAGAAATCTATATGAGGCAGCCAGAAGGCTTCATAGAGGCAGGCAAGAAAAACCTGGTATGCAGGTTGAAGAAGAGCTTGTATGGTTTAAAACAAGCTCCTAGACAGTGGTACAAGAAGTTCGATAGTTTCATGAGTAGCAGTGGTTTTACCAGATGCCAAGCAGATCATTGTTGCTACATCAAGAGGTTCGACAATAACTTCATTATTTTATTGTTGTACGTTGATGACATGCTCGTTGCAGGCTCAGACATGCAAGAGATTATAAACTTGAAGCAAAAATTGTCAAAGCAGTTTGCTATGAAGGATCTGGGCGCTGCAAAGCAGATTCTTGGGATGAGGATCAAGAGAGACACAAAGTCGGGGACTTTGATATTATCACAGGCTGAGTACATCAACAAAGTACTCTCTAGGTTCAACATGCAAGATGCTAAACCAGTAAGTACACCTTTAGGTGTTCATTTCAGACTCTCCAAAGAACAGTCACCAAAGACGGAGGAAGAACGTGCACACATGGTGAAGGTGCCGTATGCCTCAGCAATTGGAAGTCTGATATATGTCATGGTTTGTACCAGACCAGATATTGCTCAAGAAGTGGGAGCTGTTAGTAGGTACATGAATAATCCGGGCAAGGTACATTGGGAAGTAGTCAAATGGATCCTCAGATATCTGCGGGGTACCACAAACAAGGCACTTTGTTTCAAAGGTGGAGATACGATACTGATAGGCTATGTAGATGTTGACTTAGCCAGAAATGTTGACATCAGAAGGAGCACTACAGGGTATGTCTATACTCTAGGAGGAACCGCAGTGAGTTGGGTTTCTCAACTGCAGAAGATAGTTGCTCTCTCCACAACTGAAGCAGAATATGTTGCTGTTACGGAAGCTAGCAAGGAGATGGTTTGGCTCCAAAGTTTCTTGGAAGAGTTAGGCAAGAAACAAGATAACAATATCTTGTATTGCGACAGTCAAAGTGCTATACATCTAGCAAAGAATCCGTCTTTTCATTACAGGACAAAGCACATACAATTGCGATATCATTTTATCCGGTCTCTTCTGGAAGATGGGATTTTGAAACTTGAAAAGATCAGTGGAGCTCAAAATCCGGCAGACATGTTGACAAAGACGGTGACTACAGACAAACTGAAGTTGTGTTCAACTTCAGTTGGCATGCTAGAGTAACAAGACTAGAAAAGCTGTTGTATTGATCGAGGTGTGAAGACAGATTAAAATCAGTCTTCAAGTGAGAGATTGTTGAAAGTATTAAAATGGTTTTCAAGTTTGGTAACCAACTTTGAAAAAATGGTTTTCAAAGTTTGGTAAATGTTTCTTTGAAAATGGTTTTCAAAGTTTGGTAAATGTTTCTTTGAAAAATAGTTTTTCAAAGTTTGGTAGATGTTTGTTGAAAAATGATAATGGGATAATCACAATTAATACCTAGGCTTTAGGGTATTTACAAGATTAAGTCCTTAAGTTTCAACTATAAATACCCTAGCTCATTTAACTTTAAAACCATTCCAAAAATCATTTCTTTCTCCCAATACTAGAGAGCTTTCTTGTGAGTAGTGAGTGTTTTGTAAACACCTGTAAATTTTCTCTCTTAGTAAAAGATCTGCAGCAGTCCGGAGATGTAAGCACAATTGGCTGAACTCCGTTATCAATTTCGGGTATTATTTTTCCGCTTTTATTTCGTATTCTCACTAATCTGGTAATAAGGAAATTACTTGTACTTGGTTTATTTCCTAACAAGGGGCCTTTCATTTCTATACTTACAGTGTTCCATCATCTCTAGGAAACTTGAGGTGTTTGCAGACCTTGGATTCAAGTAGTTTTGGCTATGTACCGGATGTGATATGGAGGTTGGAACAGTTAAGACATCTCTATCTCTCATCTCCCATGGACGAATGGTGACAGATGATTGGATGTCAGTAACGATTGAAAAACTTCATTAACTAAAACTAAATATTTTTAAAGTTTAATAAAAGAATTTATACACTATTAAAGTTCAGTGTCTAAAACAATATTATTTTGTATATCAATAAACAATGCTGTTTTTCCATATCATTACAATAAAAAAATTCATTCATGACATCTTGTCTTAAAATTTCACAACCACTAATATTTTTAAAATTAAAATTAAAATAATTGAAAATCTAATTATATAAATAATATACATAAGCAAGTAAAAATAAAATAATACAACAGCAACTATAATAAAAATACTACAATATAATATACAAATGAAGTCGTAATAAGAGGGAGTGTCGATTTTTGAGCTCCGCCGTGAACCACCATGGAAGATGAGACGACGATTTACATAGAAGAAAAAGGGCCAGTCTCTAACTGACTTGGCACTTAAAATCTAAACAGTTAGCACAACAAAATAACCAACTAAGAAACCTCCCAACTTCCTTAACCGCTTTTAGTTGATCATTCAACCTTCAACAATATCTTCGTCCAAACAAAAAGCATTTTCGTAATTAGCCTTTTTCTCCCATACTTCCATTCGAGCAACAATGGCTGGGAACCACGGCAACACCACCATCGACGGCGGCGATAATCGAATCACTGTGCGAAATTCCTCTGCTGTTCCTGACGACGGTGAAGATTATTTTTCCTACCGACCTGCAGTTGGGTTTCGGTTCTACCCTACCGACGAAGAGTTGATTCACGATGGTTAACGGTGAACCTTTACCTCCTAATGGCAGCTTTCATGATGTTAATATCTACGAAAGCGATCCTAGCATACTCACTCGTAAGTCGATTAAACGATGATTACGCAAGTTAATATTTGTTTTCGATGATCTGATTCGTTTGATTGTTATAATATTCACAGAACGATACACAGATAGTGACGGAGCATGGTATTTTTTCTCGAAAACATTGAGGAAAAGAAAACTTGGGAATGGAGAGAGGCGGACCCGTGCGACGGAGAGCGGCAGTGGCTACTGGAAGGTGACGGAATCAAAGCAAGTCGTTCATCAGGTCGCCGGGATCATCGGCTACAGAATAGGACTTGTTTTTTTATCTACGCCAGCTTCCTAATGACCAAAGAACCGAGTGGAAAATGCATGAGTATACGGCTAAAGATAGCGGCGACACGCGGGTAAAATCTTTTTACTTACATATGAATAGCGATCATAAGTAGAGTACAAAAAGATTACGTATACATTTATCGATAACGATATTTTAACTTTGCGATGTAGCTTGATAAGTGGATATTATGTAAAATATATGTGTCGAGAACAAAGAAGGTCATTTACCGAATCATCAATGATAGAACCAGAGCAAAGACCATACTGTTAAAGGTTGCTGGAGCAGGTAAAGAGTCTGAGGATGAAGATCATTCCCGGCAAGCTGTTAATGGGCCATCTTCAACGGCGGATCCTTCTCTGCAATGGGATAACCGACCACCTTCGATGGCGGTGCATTCAACTAACCTTATGCCAACATATCCATCGTATCCTCCTCCGCCTCCTGCAAACCCTCCTCCGCCTTTCGCATTCTACCGACATCCAGCGCCTTTATCTTATCCCACACATCTATCGAATCCTTCGTTTACATATCCATCGCCTTTATTGTATCCCCCAGGTAACTTCATATATTTTATATATTTCGATATTACTTAATTATAGTAATGAAGTTTGTCACTGTTCCACTTTAAAACAGATCATTTTCGAGGTCTTTATCCACCGCCCCCTCCCCCGCCGCACTAAAACTGTTCGTTAGGAGATGGTTATGTTCAAAACTCTTTAGAAAGGGTTGGGATTATTGTTTTGCAAACAAAACCTTGGAACATCATAGCCATTGTATAGTTTGAACTGTTCGTAATTTTCAGCTTGTGGAATGCATTTGGGTATATTTCTATGGTTCGATTCTTTGTTTTGTTGGACCGTCAATTAGACTTGTTTAATGATTGAGTTCGTAGAATTTAACAGTGTTTTAGACCATAAAAAAGTGCTGAATACATATATTTCAATGAAAATTAAGAGCATGAACCGATTTATCTCTTTAGAATGCATTTGAGCACCAATAATTGCAGTAAGATGGTTAAATGTTCATATGGTTGGACTTTGTCTTACTCTTCGATTTGTTCGCGGTTTCTGCCGCTCCTCCTCTCAACTTTATTTTTTCCACGCGCCGCCGTATCAACCTCTTTAACCGGAATCATTCATCCAATTTATTTTCCTGTAAATTCCATTGCCTCTTTTCCCTTAAACTCGACATAAACAAAAAGGCTTCTTTAGAAAGGTTTATCAGAGCTCTTGGGGTTTTAGCTGTTTGCTTTTCAAGCTGAAGCGCAAAATGGGAGTATTAACAATGGAACTGGAGAAGGGAATAACCAGCAATACATGACGACGAATTCGCTTTATGTTGGGGATTTGGATTTGAGTGTGATCGAAACTCAGCTCTATGAGTATCTCTCACAAATGGTTCTATTAACGAAAACCGTTGGTCAATAATAAAAAATGTGTATCAAAGAATTTTTTCGAATTAAAGTATCATATTAATTAAAAAATAGGAAGAAGATGACTTTAATTTCTTTTATTTGAAAGTTGAGCTGGGGTACTTTTTGTATTTTTTTTAACGATCCCACATGTTAACATTCTTACGCTTGATCGTATAAAGAACTAAGCCACCCCTATGTATATATAGCACATCTCATTTCTTCCAAAACCCTAAGAAGAAAACATGGCAGAAAAAGCGAATTCATCTTCATTACGTTTAACAAAGACAACGTATTTCACTCATGTTCGAATTGTTTTTTCAATGGATAAATATGCGGAACTAAACATTAAGGAGATAGTTCGACTTCATGGAGTGTCAGTTTCAATAGTATCTAACAGAGATCTAAGGTTCATTTCGAGATTTTGGAAGTTTTTACATGGAGTTTTGGGTACACGATTGAACTTTAGCACGACTTTTCACCTACAGACCGATGATCAATCGGAGCGGACGATTCAGATTCTGGAAGATATGTTAAAAACATGTATGATTGATTTTCGTGGATCGTAGGAGAAGTATATGCCGCTCGCAGAATTTGCTTACAATAATAGTTATCAATCGAGTATCAAGATGGCACCCTAGGAAGCTTTATATGAAAGAAAATGTCGAACTCCATTAAATTGGTTTAAATTGAAAGATCGAGATTTAATGGGGCCAAACCTGATCAAAGAATTTGAAGAAAAAGTGAAGACCATTCAAGATAATCTTAAGATAGCTGCTGATTGATAGAAGTCCTACGCGAATTTGAAGATAAATGAAATTGAATTCCATGTAGGTGACAAAGTATTTCTCAAAGTATCGCCTTGAAAGAAGATTCTCCGTTTTGGACGCAAAGGAAAACTCAGTCCTAGATTCATTAGATCCTATGAGATCTTAAAAAGAGTTGGACCAGTGGCGTATCAGTTAGCTTTGCCACCAGAAATGGAAAAGATTCACAATGTTTTTCATGTATCAATGCTCAGAAGATATCGATCAGATCATTCACACATCATAGCACTAGAAGAAATAGAAGTTCAATCTGACCTGACTTATGAAGAAGAACCAGTGTAGATTTTAGCACATGAAGTCAAACGGCTAAGTGACAAGACGATTCCATTAGTTAAAGTTCTTTGGTGAAATCACAAAGTAGAAGAGGCGACATGGGAGTGTCAAGAGGATATGAGAAGACAATTTCTTTATCTCTTTGTACAGAGAAAATTCGAGGACGAATTTTCTTAAGGGGGAGAATTGTAATACCCCAAACATTGGGTCAGTGACTAAAATGTAAGGATTTAAAATTTGGTGGTTTAATTTAAATAAATTGAAAAGTTCAAGGACTGATTTTATAATTTGTGTCTAAGACTTATTATCAAAGATGGAGGAATGGAAGGGCAAAGAGGTCTTTTAGCATGAATTAATTTAAAATTCTTTTTAAAGATATTCAAGCATGTGGGAATTGAGATAGAGAAAAGAAAAGTCTGGAACTTGGTTCACTTCTCTTCTTCTTCCACCGTAACCTCTATTGCCAAGGTGGGTTCTTTTGAATGTTGGTTAATCCTTTCATTTTTGAGTTGGTTTTGAAGCCTTGAGTGTTCTAGAAGCTTAAGGAAGCTTTAAGATGAATATAAACTAAGAGATTAGTTAATTAAGGATGAATTAGTAAAATGGCTTTTTAAGGGATTTGATAAGATTGATTGCTATTTAGATTTCTAATGATATATTTGACTTGTCAATGGCCTAATTAAGGTGTCTGAAGTGTTAGAAAGGATTGAGAACATGTTGATTGAGGGGTATGATTTTAGCTTAAAGTATTCTATGGAGAATTTTGGGATGTTACAAGAGGATTAATGAATATAAGTTTTGTGGGATAATTATTAGTGAGTTTAAGAGCTTGAATAGAGTTAAGGGTAAGAGATTTAAGTGAGTTTTGAGTAAAATTCGAATGAAATAAGTGAAATCTGGGTAAATGTATCGGTACTGGAAGAAAAATACTGATACTATAAGGGTAAATTGAAGGAAAAATGTATGAATCGGATGAACAATATCGATACTGATTGAAGTAGTATCAATATTGATGTGTAGGTATCGATACCAAGGGTAAGGTATCAATACTGTAATTGAAATGAAATTATAGAATGCCAAGATGGTATCGATATTGAAGTGGGTATCGGTACCGTAGAAGACAAGTATCAGTACTGTAGGAGGGGTACCAATACTATTCAGTATGAATTTTAAATTAGGAGTTTTCATTCCGTTTATGTAAGTGCTAATAGGTTACCCGTTAACAGAAATTTGGTATTGATATTAGACATGCCTATATGTAGATTTGGATCGAAACCATATCAAAGGAATCAACATAGTACGAGATTGAGCAAAAGAAAAAGGATTCTGTTTAGGACTTACGTGAGGCAAATGTGAGTGCAAGTTATTTATTTTATAGTAGATATGAGGATGACTTGCGATAATTTAACCTCAAAGTTTTTGATCGAAAATAGTTTATTTATTTTATGCAATATTTTAATGTTTTACATAAATTGTATTTATGAATGCATTGTTATGATTTTTACTAGTATGTGAATATAAGATATGTGAATATGTTTTATATGAAAATATGTTAAATGAAAATGTTCTACGTAAAAATACATTGTGTGAATGCACTCTACGTGGATAAAACACACTTTGAATAACGAAAGGAAAAGTAATTACATGGTTAAAGCCCAAATTATATGTATGAGAATTTAAGGTATAGTTGACATGCCAAGAGTCGAGGGTTCTACGCGATCCTTTGAGACAAAGTCTACGTGGTCCTTCGGGACAATATTCTACGCGGTCCTTCGGGACATATCTATGTGGCACTTCGATGCATATTCTACGTGGCACTTCGGTGCAAATTATATGAGCAGTGGTGACTGCATTTAGTGCACAATCTCAATGTAATCAAATACCTTGAGTTCTCAATAATATGCGTTGAGATCTATAAACAAATTTATATGAATTGAACAATGTATAAGATTATAACTATGTGTTTGAAAGTACATGCCAACTAGAACTTTATGTATTAAAATACATATTATTCACCTTTCTTCTGATCTGACCTTTGGTAAGAAGAACTGACCTGTCTTGCTCCATATTGCTCTTTACTCTTCTCACTTCGATAACCTACGTGTGAAATAATCACACGCTAAGTCGATGGCTTAGTGAGGCAATAAACATAAAATATAACTATAGCTTGTAATCATGCATGAACAATTATTACTATCACTCATACCCTTATTCATGTAACAAATCCCTACAACACATATGCAATATATATCATTTCATATAAAAACATATACACACATATATTCATCACTCATCATTTCCATCATTAGCCTTATTTCATTATCAATATTATTATCGTTTATGTCACTTAATACATATCCTCTTATACCTAGCATTTTAACCAACATTTGCCTCATTTAATCATACAATCCACATATCATCATATAAATCATATAACACTATTCATATCACAAAAGCATACAAATCACATGTAATATATTTGTTATTTTTCTTATTAGCCCATGTACACATGTGAGAACTATAGATATATGAGTCTATAGAGGTTGTGCACTAATGTTGTCACCAAAGCTCGTATAAATGCACAGAAGTGCCACGTAGAATTGCACCGTAGTGCCACATAGAATTGCACCGTAGTGCCACGTAGAAATGCACCGAAGTACCATATAAGGTTGTCCCTAAGGACCACATATCATTCCTTAAGAATCATATACATATGCCAAGGATCAAGTATGTGTCTCAAAAGACCTCACACATGTTCCAAAGAATACATATATGTCCCGAAGGACCACATATCATTCCTTAAGAATCATATACATATGCCAAGGATCAAGTATGTGTCTCAAAAGACCTCACACATGTTCCAAAGAATACATATATGTCCCGAAGGACCACATATAATTCCTTAAGAATCATATACATATGCCAAGGATCAAGTATGTGTCTCAAAAGACTTCACACATGTTCCAAAGAATACATATATGTCCCCAAGGACCGCGTAAACTCTCGAATCTTGGCATGCCAACTATACCCTAGCTCTCATGACACTTAACATGGGCATCATCATTTATGTCATTTCACATTTTCACATCACGTAGTTCACTTTCACATAGCACGTATATTATGTCACATAAGTTGAATCACATATACGTATAAACACATAAATCACTTTCACATATCACGTAGCTCATATTCACTTTTCATAATATTTCACATTTCTTGTCACATTGCTTATATCTTATTTTTATGTCTTATCCTATATATATATATATATTCACATGTTCATATAATCCATCATTTCATCATCTAAATGTGTATTCATATAATTCATCTTCATATATATATATATATATATATATATATATATATATTTTCCTATACTTGTATTCACATCATTTATATTCTCCTTCTCATAACCTCATATGTCCTGATTAATAGCTTAAATCATATATGTATAAAATAACTTATCTCATATCATATAGCTTATACCTAATTCTATGCCATTTACCTAGATCATATCACACTCATAAACATATGTCACTTCTATTCTTTCATTTATATGCTAATCTAATCTATTTACCTAATTCAATTCATATAATACCTATAACTTTCTAATATGACTACGTAGATTTCCATCATACAACTCATATATCATAATTTTATTTAAGCATATGTATCTTTCCCATCTAACTCATCTTATATGTTCCTATTATCACTTATGTTCAAGTCTCATATCATCATATAGGTCAATATTATCTATCTTGTTTCAATTCTCATTCAATGATATAATTCTATTTTACTATTTCACATAAATGTTCATACCACTATTCACTTACCCAACTCACATTCTTATTGTTTATATAACCTTTACATTTGAGTACTTCATTCCCATCATTTCTTCTAAACTCGCTTTTTACCATATTCCCATATTATTACCTAATTTATCACATATAATGTATCACATAACTTCTCTTTTATATTCATATAATTTCATCATAACATAGCATATATTCACATCAACCATGAAATACATATACAATACATGTCAACACATACCATAACATATAACTCAGACACTCATAACAAACACATGTTCATGTTCATGCTTCATGCACAATACTATAGAAATTAGACTTGTCACAAGTCTTATTTCCCATTAAACATCATATATAAAATAATACGCACTCACCTTGGCCTCACTAAGTTCCAATCCATTTTATAATTTCCTCTTTTGCGGTCGAATCATAACTTGATAATCGCTCCGGGACTTGTTCATGCTCGATATCTATATAATCATACATTGATACATATTAGTATCCAATTGATATACACTAATCTATCATTTCTTAGACCAAAAGAAATCTATAATTCTTTTTCCCTTGAAGTGTATCGATGCATACTACAGTGCATCGATGCATTCTTTAACATGTGCATCGATGCATTCTTTAACATGTGCATCGATGCACTACCCATGCATCGATACACAAATTACCTTCGATGTTTTCATTTTAAAGGGATGCATCGATGCACTCCTTATGCATCAATGCACCATTTGCATTCGATGTTTCTTCTTTAAAGAGTGCATCGATGCACATTCAATGTGCATCGATACACCTTGCCCAAAATTTGCATTTTAAGCCCGAAAATCCATTTAATTCCACTCAAATTCTTCATATTTCATCCCCTTTCATATTCCTTACTTACATATACATATTTGCCCTCATTTCTACTCAATAATCACTTCTTTAACTTCCATATTCTATTCTCCTTAAGAAATTCAAGAATCATACCCAAATTTTAACATGTTACAAATCCAATTCTAATACTTCATACATGTTAATTAGATTGATGACAAGTCAAATTCACTCTAAAACCTCATTAAAGAACCCTCTTTCAAGATTTCACTTATTCCTCTCTTTTCTTTAATCCCCTCTATTCTCTTCATCTTATGTTTCAAGATAATTTAAGCTCTTCTTATGCTTAATTATCACCTAATAATCAAAACTCAACCTTAAATTTCAGCTAATAATCAACAAATAAAGAAACTCACCTTTGCCTAGCTTGGGCACGTTGGAGAAGAAGAAAGCAAGTGAAGAAGAAGAGAGTTTTCATCTTCTTCTCCCCCACGTGTTAATCTCCTAATAAAGGGGAGAAAATATATTTCCTTGTCAATTAACCATTTTACCCTTTACTTCATTTAATAATTACCAATAACTTTTATGATTTATTTCCAAATAAATCATTGAACTAATCCATGGTTCTACTCTAGTCACCAAAATCTGAAACTTTACAATTTGATCACTAACTCGGTATTGAGGATGTTACACAACGACTTAGCGTGTGATTGTTTCACACGTATGTTCTAAGAGACCAAGGGTTAAAGCTAGGAGATGACAACATACTCCTAAAGAAGATCATATCATAACAAATTTGAAATGTAGGTTTATTATTATTTTGTGATTTTATTGGCATGTGTTATAAAGCTTTAAATTGTTATGCTCTGATCGGTTTTGTAAGTACACTATTTTAAATTAATAAAATATATTAAGCATTTATTTTCATTGTGATTATAAAATTTTAATGTAAATGTTTGTATAAGATTCACCATTAAATACCAGTAAAAGTTTAAATTTTCCATAAGTTTTCAACAAGTCCAAGTTTTGAAAAGGCAACGTGATACCTCGGATTTGTATCCGGGTCGGATACGGGTAGAGGGTGTTACATTTTCCTTATGGGTTTCGTTTACCTCTTGTATCAATATTTGTTGATATAGTTGGTATGTTATCATTGTCTCATCAATGATGGTTGATCATTTGAGGGTTTTTTTTTCATTTTGAATAAATGATCACTAAATTTTGTATAATTTTGTTTATTTTATTAAGATAAGATTATCAAAAGTAATATATATTTTAAATGTTTTCAATTATTTGATAATAAATGTTAAGTTACCTTTAATGCATTTGTTGTTCAAACTTGTGACATTTAGATCTAGGAAAATTATATATTACAGGGTAAAGAACAAAAAATGGACCTCTGACTATCGGGTTTTGCTTTATTAAGTTATTTGAATATTAAAATTTACAAAATGGTCATTCGATTATAGAGTGTTATTTTCTTAAGTCTCTCGACTATTATAAGTTACAAAATGATCATCCGACTATTCATTATGTTCAAAACTCATCATTTTTCATTAAAAATTAGTTGATCTGTAAGTTGGGCGTTAACATAATGATTGAATATGATAATCATTTGAGTTTTTAGGATCAAATTTTATGATATCACAGTCAACAGGTTAACGTTCAACTTAGAATATCTTCAAATTTTTAACGGAAAAAGACAAGTTTGAAACATAATGAATAGTCAGGTTACCATTTAAAACTTTTAATAATCGAAGGACTCAACAAAACAACATCCTATAATCGAATGATCATTTTATAATTTTTAATAGTTAAAAACTTAATAAAATAATATCCTACAGTAGAAAGACCATTTATGTTCTCTACCCTATATTATAAGTGTCATTAATCCTTATATTATATACTATAAGTTATATAAGGTAGTAGAATTATATACGTACAATTATGTACTATAAGTTATTCCTTCAACGATTCTTCTGTTTGATTAAATTTTGCCTTATATTATTAGAATTTTAATTTTTTTAGATAAGCTGATTTCATTATATTTAGAGAGAATACAACAAAACAGTTACAGCAAACCGAGCACCATACAAAAACATAGGAGTTCACTCAGGTATACCCTAAGCTGTACAAAGGGAAAGATTTATCCTATCAGATCTATCTATATATTTACCTCTGGCCTTAATTCTAACAGTCTCTCTAATCGAGTCAAAAACAATAACCTCCATGCTCACGTTATTACCAAAGATTCTATCATTCATCTCAAGTCAAACCAAGTAAATTAGAGCATTCTAGACAATTTTTAGGATAAAGTTAATAAGAGACTTACCTTTTAATTTCTTAACGAGCCCACCGCAATTCAAAATTCCATCCTCCTACAGGTCTGTGCAAGCCACATGCATTCAAGACCCTTCTCCAAACCGTGCTCGAGAAACAGCACTAAAATAAAAGCTGATCTCTTGTCTCAGCAACACCGCTACAAAAAACACACGTCTCATTAACTACCATGCTAATACGAGTGAGCATATCCTTCGTGTTAAGCCACCCCAAAATGACCAACCAAACAATGATAGCATGTTTTGGCACATGGAAAGGAAACCAAACCAGCTTGTGCCAAGGAACCCTATCTCTCTTAACCCTTATATCCAACCAAATCCCTCGAGCATTCAAAGTATCCAAGCTAACAGAAGTAAGAAAAAGAGGACGAGCCACTTCACGCAAAGAAAACAACTTTTGTAAACACTAACTCATAGACCCCTTAGGAACCATATGCCAGAAGTCTTGACCCTTCAAAACATTAATAACATAATTTGATTTAAAATTTTAAACTAAAAGATTAAATACATAACATATACATAGTATAGGGACTAATGACCAAATTCAACCCTCCAAATCCTACCACACATACCGTTAAAAGCGCGCAAACAGTTAACCTTGGATGCGGGAAGGGGAAAAAAAAATATCTGCTTGACATCTAGGGATGTGTATGGTTGGTTTCGGTCAATATTCTATATCTTTTATCCGATCTGATTCGACTTAAAAAATATATATCTTTTATTTAATTCAAATCAGATCTAATTTTTTGAGATAAAATATGAATTCGAATTCGATCCGAAATAATAATAAAATATTATGTTTATTTAATAAAAAAATAATGATTTAATTAAAAAATAATATATAAAGATATTATTGTAATTATTCTTAAATATATAAAATAAAATTATATTTTTTTAATTATATATTTTTTTATTATAAACCCGAATCTGAACCATACATCAATTTTAAAAAACTCAATCCAAATCCAAAATATTTTAAAAACAACAGTCAAGTTCGGGTTCTAGCCTATTGACATTGGCTATCGCTCCTGATGACGTGGAACTTGTATGATTTAATCACGTGTAAAAGCGACGCCTTGCAGACCTTTATTGGCGCCCCTGAGAACAACTCAACTAACACCTCCTTTCTCTCTCTCTATTTTCATTCTATTTTCTCTGCTAATTCCAAGGAATAATTTCCATTTAAATTCTGAACGATCTTCACGTTTTTGTTATTCTCCGGTTTGAAAGCACATCAAAAAAAGGAAAAGAAACTTCAATGGAGCATAATCTCCGGCGGAATTTTCCTGCTCCGGCTTCGGATCCTTTGGCCTGTCTCAGTGAGTTGACTCAGACGAAATCGGGCTCACCCGCCTCTGGTGTAACCATTGAGAGCTTCCGAGATCCCATTGCAAATGCAACACCGGTAATTTACTTATTTTTCCTTTTTTTTCACCCTTTTCTTTGAATTATAGCTTTGCTTGTGTTGTTCTTCGTCTATGACTTTCAATGTTTAGTTTTTGTTGATATCATAATTTGACTGCTGAAAATTTTGTTTATGTTCTTTATTTTTTTGAAAATTGGTGGCTTGATTTGCAGTTATTAGGGAACAATTGAGAGAAAAATGAGATCCTTTCATTTTAGACGATGATGCTGATTTTAGGATTGCGTGATAACAATGTTTCTATTTTTATTTGTTTTCCATTTTCGTTTTGCAGTTATTCATGTTTCGTTGTTAAAAACGAATACTACAATTAGTATTTTCTTATTTTGCAAATTTTCTGTTGTTAATCTACAGATCTTTGTATGAGAATCTCAGTTTTTATATAGCTTGATAAATTGATACGATTTAGTTTTTTGGAGTAGAGAAATGGAAATTCACAGTAAAATCATTACTTATTTCTTTATTTAACGCGATGTAAGTGCTGTTTGTTTGAATCAATTGTTTAACGGGGCATTGTTGTTCTAAATATGTGACACTATGGCTTTAGATATTGCATTATTAAACATACTCTTAAACGACAACCGTAAAACATCATAATTTTTTATTTCTCATTCGCTCGTTTGTACTTGCTTGATTTGTTTGTGGGGAAGCAACTGCTTAAATGTTTGGAAGTTTTTTTTGGTTTCCTGTATTAATGAAAAATGAGATATAATTTCAACGAATTGCCGGCAAAAGTAACCACCGCAAGCTCAAAACAGGGGTTCCCTATCAATGTCTCTGATTTCTAGCACACAAAATAGAGCTGGAGAGAACATAGCACCGTTCATTCCTTCTACATGCACGTTCGAAATCTGATGATATGGTACTCGAGGTGGTTGAGCTTGCTAATTTGAATTTCATTTTTCTTTTTCCCCCCTCTGAAAAACAATTGAATTTCTAAAAAATTAATAGAGGATGCAGGTTTTAACTTAAATTTCTCACTTTATATAAATGGAATTGGCTGCATCATTGTTCAAGACTGTTCGTTGCTGGATTTTGATACTAGTATGCTATCTGTTCTTTTATGTTTTAGAGCTTTATTAAAGTGAAAATCTTAAGTTTATTTTAGAAATTTTCTGTTTTGCAAGTGTGTCCTCTTTTCTTAACAGGTTTAGCACGAATAAAATGGTGGATTGAGACCAAAGGTTGGATGAATGATCTGGAATAGTCCACATTCTTGTTTAAAATGCTATATGAATCTTGAAGATACACTGAGGTGTAATGCTAGATTTGTGAGAAAATAACTTATGTCATTCTTTATGCCCAAGGCTAAGCATTTGGATAGAAAAGTGCATTAACTAAGACCCTTAATGGAAGAAGATAGTTTTGAGTTGGATTAATTGGTTCTTTTATTTTTTACTTGAGTAGTTATCTCATACTAGTTTCTTCCGCTTTTTAGTTCTATGGGTCATTGTGCTATTATGGAGATCTACTGTTTGGCCTTCAGTTATTTGAAATCACTATGGATTGGATGGTAAGTTTATGAATGTCCTCTATTGGGGAAAACTCTTCTTTCTTTATCAGTTAGTCTTGTGTAAATGGTTGAACACCCCTCCCCAATTATATGGTGATTTATTTTCCTCTTTATGGTTATACCTCTCTTATGATTGTGTGTGCCGCATGTGGGAGCCATGTCCAACTCAATTGCGTGCCAAAGTACATAATTCTTCTCATCAGGTCAGAGACTTGCTCTTATTTTCATCTTCACCTTGTGGTTTCACCTTAATTATTTGCCTGCCTTCAATAAGTTATCTTGATTCTCTTTTCAGTTTGGCTACTACCAGAAGAGCGATGACCCGTTGTTGGACAGCACTGCTGATTCTAGTGATAACCGGGAAAGTCTGTTACATCATGTTACGCCTGCTGGCTCAAGAGAAACTGTGGTTGCCGATGGTGGAACGAACTCGGGAAGTAACACGTCCTTAGATGGCTGCACCAGTGGTAAATTTAGCCTCAATCTGCAAGCAAACTTCCTCTTCCTATTGCCTTCATTCATTTCTGTTATGAGTTTCCCCGTTCCATGCCTACCGGTTATGCATCGCACTTTCCCAGGTACATGCATCATCTCCGTAGAGATTTATGTAAACAGAAATGTTTTCTTCTCCTCGTATGCTTATGATGTAAATACTTGTTTGAATGTGCCTTTTTGTGGAGAGATTTTATATTTTTTCTCGAATCAAACGTGGAATGGTGGCTGTACCTTTTCATTTAACCGAAGTATTTGGTCTTTAATAGAGGTTTGGGATCAGAATTTTGTTGATGAAGACCGAAGAGAAAAGACCGGTGTCTCTTGGGCGAAGCTCTTGAAGACAACAGCAATGTATGATGCTTCAACCAATGATACATATATTTGGGCGTGAGTGAAATCCGGCAAGTTCTCACCCGGTGCTCTTTTGTGGAAGAATGCAATTCAAATGGGTGGTTTTGCAGTTAGAAGATTTGGTATAGATAGATGCATAGATAGAATTCTTTTCTTCTTTTTGTCCTCTATCATTAGATCCGAGCCGTGAGCTATTCTGTACCGATTAGATTATGATGTGTAAAAGATTAGGTTATTCCGATTCATCATATTTTTTTCATTTTATTTTTTATCATAATTTTTTAATTAATCTGAGATAAGTATAAGAGTGTATCTATTCAAATATTATTTTTAATTATTTAACATTAAACTCTCATATTCATAGCTTTTTTGGTTTTATGATACTTGAATTTAAAATCTCAAAGAATAATAATTTTTTTTATCATAAGTCTCGTTCGTGTTTGAGGCTTGCAATTTGAATGAGAAAGAAGGCATAAGACGTTAAAAGTGTTTTGGTTTCATTGCATGTTTTTCTCAACAATAGTATGAATATCTCTCGTCCCTATAATTCTTTTTCAGATTTTTTTTAAAAATATATAAAATATTAGTATGTTATTCATTAAAAAATATTTTTATAAAAATATTTTAATAAATAATCATAGTTGTAATTATAAAAATTTATATATAAACTTGAGGATTTTACATCTAGTGAACCAACGCCCTTAGGTGGCGTTTGGTTCGCTGAAACGTTTATGAGGAAATTGGAATATGTAAGAATTGAAATCCAATTCAATATTCTGTTTGGTTGGCAGGAAATGGAATTGAAATCCAATTTCATATTCTGTTTGGTTCGTAGATATGTCAGATGAATTTGATTTCAGTAATATAAAATGACAGAATTGTCCTTCTTGTTTATTTGCTTTATTTTAGTTTATTTTACAACTTACATGTAGTAATATATTATAAAAATTAAAAAATATTAAAATTTCATTTTATTGATTGATTATTTATTTTAATAAATTATAAAAATCATGCTAATAAACATTATAAGTTAAAATCATCGCAATCAAAATATATTAATAAGTTACCAAAAGATAGAGTAATATTTCGATACATTCCAATCGGAGTATGTTAATTAGTTACCAAAAAATATACCAAAAACTATTTTTATTCAATATATGAATTAGAAACTCAACCCGACCAGACTCAAAATAATAAAAAAAAAATATTTTTATTCAATAAAAACATTGACTTAATTGAAAAAAATTATATATAGAGGGGTATTATTGTAATTATTCCTAAATATATAAGGTAAAATTATTTTTTTTTTTCGGGTTGGTCCGGTTTTTTTCACCCTAAACCCGAACCCGACCCGAATATTACACTTAAAAAAAACCCGACCCGAATATCACACTTAAAAAACCCAACCCGACCCGAACAAAATAAAGTTTCATCCGACCCGACCCGAATATATAAATTAGAAATCCGACCTGACCCAACCCGAAATAATAAAAAAATTATTTTTATTTAATAAAAACAGTGACTTAATCCGACCTGACCCGAATTATATATATTTTCGGGTCGGTCCGATTTTTTTTCACCCTAAAACCGAAGCCGACCCGAATATTACACTTAAAAAACCCGACCCGACCCGAATATCACACTTAAAAAACCCGACCTGAACAAAATAAAGTTTTCTCCGACCCGACCCGAATATATGAATTAGAAATCCGACCTAACCCGACCCGAAATAATAAAAAATTATTTTTATTTAATAAAAACAGTGACTTAATCCGACCCGACCCGAATTATATATATTTTCGGGTCGGTCCAGTTTTTTTCACCCTAAACCCGAACCCGATCTGACCCGACCAAAATAAAGTTTCACCCGACCCGAATATATGAATTAGAAACCCGACCCGAAATAATAAAAAAATATTTTTATTCAATATATAAATAAGTTACCAAAGGATTGATGAGAATAGTATGGTCAAATTTCAATTCCCTCCAACAAGAGAATTGAATTCCATCCATTTTTTTGATGTAATTCACTTTCTCTCATTTGATGGAATTGAATTCCATCAGGGATTCTAATTCCCTTGAAAAACTTGAACCAAACATAGAAAAGTGGTATAATTAGATTCCAATTCCCACTAAAACCAAAAGCCACCTTAGTCTTAGCTTCTATGATTTTATAAGATATTTAAATTTTTTATTTATTTAATTAAAATTTAGTAAGGTAAATTACAAACTTGATAACTGAATTTTATGCTCTCTCCTATTTTACTAATTGTACTTTAAATCTTTTCACTAAACTTAATACATTGATCACTTTATTGTTTTCTCACTAATGATGTTATAAATGAGTTTTTATATAGATACTAAATGACATTATTTTGGTTAAATTTTTGTTTGTTTTTTCAAAACGATGTCGTTTTAACAACATTAACCGTTTAACGGCGGAGTGACAAAAAAAATCTATTGTATAAATTTAATGAAAATATTGAAAACTTTTAAAGCTTAATGGGAAAAATAAGAGAAGAATAAACTTTTGTGATAAAATTTACCCATAATAATAAAGCACGCTGCTGCTGATATTATCATCCCAACTGCCGTTGCAACTAAATTGGCGCGGATGACCAGTTGGTATGGAGAGAGTCTTTCGTGTTTTATTTACTCCTTTCAGCCACACATAACTAACTCCCTCCGCCACAACAGCTAGCCGGCGGTCCAAGCCATAAACCGGAAGCTCAACGCTCCCTCGGAGCCATTGGTTTTCAAATTTAATTCCCATTAATGCATTGAGAGACAGAACAGAGGAAAGACTTTTCTTCTTCTTCTTTTGCTTGATGGGTATTGTGCCATATCTAAGAGGAGCAAGAACCCATGAAGGGTTGCCCATAGCCGAAGGGCTATCACATTCTACATCAGCTTCCAACGACAAGAAATGGTTAACCTTGATGCCTTTACTACTCGCCCTTCTCGTCATTGCTGAAATCGGTTTTCTGGGTCGTTTCCGTTCGTTGCCCGCGATGTTCCGTGAATCGCGCTCTTCTGGTCGATTAAAGGTTGGTGGCGCTCGAAATTTTTGGATTCGAGCTTTGGGTGGTCATCGTAACTTGACCTGTGAGGAGTGGCTCGAGAGAGAAGATGTCGTGGTTTATTCAAGGAATTTTAGTGACGATCCCATCTTGGTTTATCATCAGAAACAGGTTTTTGTTTCGATTTTTTGAACCTTTGGCTTTTGAGATTTTGACCTTTTTTCAGAGTGATTTGTCTTTTATTTACTCATTTCACCATAATTTAATAATAAATAATACATGAAATTTAGATAATATTTTATGTTTGTGTTGTTGCTTTTGAGTGAAGATCATGCCTTCACTCTTCATAATATTTGCTAATGTCATAGGAATTATCTTGGAAGTCACACACACTCATATGTCTACCTACCTACCTATCTATGTCGATATGTACCTACGTATAAGTTTATCGTAGACAAATCCAATAGTTTGATCTATATTATTTTTCTACTTCACTCTATATGTATGTATATATATATATGTCTCTAATGTTCTTTTATGTATACATGGATAGACCGAGAAAGGAGCGGGTAGGGACAATTGTCCCTCCTAAAAATTTAAATTATTATATGTTTTTAGATATTTGCTATGTATTTTTTTATTAATAATATGTTTTCGCCTTCTAAATTTTTTAAAAACTCCGCATCCGTATATGTGTATGTATTTGCCATATAATTTTTTCTAGACTTGTATTACATTAGTTGTATATTTTTTTGCTATTTCGCTCTAATTCTCTCGTCATTTTATGTTTGTATGTATATCATGTATGTGTAAGTTCATCCTAGACATTTCCTATATTCTTTTCTTATGTAGAACATTTAAGTTGTATATTACTCTGCTAGTTCACTTCTTTCCATTTTGCATGCATGTAAGTAGCATGTAGCTACGTATTTATGCATGCACGCGTATGTGTTAAACTAGTACGTTATGAGCTTAGAAGTAGATTATTTAGTAGTTGAGTTGAAATATTCTTGTGATTTTACATGTTATTGTTCCCAGCTTTGATGATGTTGAACTTGTTAGACTTGAATCGGGTTACTGAGTTCCAGAGCTTGTTGGTGTTATAGGAGATGAAACGGCCTTGTGCGGTGGGTTGTAAGATGGGACCCCATCCGAGCAAGAAACCTGATGCTATCATTAGTCAGCATCCAAAAGCTGAAGCACCTACTGTGCTGCTCTCTATGGAATCGTCAGCCTACTATCCCGATATTAATATCGCTCAGGCACGACGGTGGGTAAGCACAATCTATATTGACTTGCTTCTATTTGAAACCATTGTGGGACTTCTGCTGATTCTCCATTAACTACTTGTGTTTCTTCCTCTGATATTCCCTTCAACACGTACATCTAACATGCTTCTCTGTTGGAAATATAGAGTTATAGACGAATCCAGTGTAACTGGTATAAATTTTCCGATTATATCATCGGGTTTGTCCTAGGGTTGGAAGTGGATTTAATGGAGGAAGTCACTGTAAGACTAACGCGTCCATTCTGTTTTGCTTTGGATTTAGGGTTGGCTATGAATATGTAATGACAACGAGCCTCTCATCGGATGTCCCAGTCGGATATTTTTCCTGGGCGGAGTATGATATCATGGCACCGGTGCTTCCCAAGACTAAAAAGGCCCTTGCAGCTGCTTTCATATCTAACTGTGAAGCCCGCAACTTTCGTATTAAAGCTCTCGTGAGGCTCGAAAACGAGAATATCAAGATAGATTCTTATGGTAGATGCCACAGAAATCGCAATGAGAATGGTGAACTCATAGTGATCCATATTTATGTTAAAACAGTACTTTTAAACTGCAGCAGCTACATAATTGTGTGTCACTTCATACTGCGTAAAGTAGTGCATGAACATATTTCGTGTAAATTTGCAGTGGACAAAGTCAAAGCTCTGAAACACTACAAGTTTAGCTTGGCTTTTGAGAACTCCAATGAAGAGGATTACGTTACGGAAAAATTTTTCCAGTCCCTCGTTGCAGGTATGAACATTCCTATATTCATGTGTTGTTTTGAACCTGAATGTCTGATATGATTTGGTTTCAGTTTCGTCATCAGATTAATGGAAATGTTAAGATTTTGCAGGAAGCGTACCTGTTGTGGTTGGTGCTCCGAATATCGAAGATTTTGCTCCTTCTCCTGGTTCATATTTACATATTAAGGAATTGGAGGATGTTGGCTCGGTTGCAGAAAGGATGAAGTACCTTTCGGAAAACCAGGATGCTTATAATGAATCATTAAGGTGAATATGTTAGTTACTTACACCCACCCATCTCCCCTGCTTTCATGGCTTCTTTGGTGAACGGATTATACTTTGGTTTCTGCATGCTGAATTTTGTTGACAATCTGTGGTTTCAGGTGGAAATACGAAGGCCCGTCAGATTCTTTCAAGGCCCTTTTGGATATGGCTGCAGTTCATTCGTCGTGCCGTTTGTGCATTCACTTGGCGACCATCTTCCGGCAGGATGAAGAAAAGAACCCCGACGTCCAGAAACGCCCCTGCAAGTGTGAGATGGGTTCGGAAACTTTGTATCATTTGTATGTAAGAGAGCGAGGGAGGTTTGAGATGGACTCTATTTTCTTGAGGTAGTTCCTCTACTCTTTTAGCTACTAGTACATTGTCGCAGATCGTTTTATCAATCCGTTTTTATCCCGTAACGATTAGACTTTCATCAAACATAACCATAAACGATGAAACCAGAGGAAATACTTATTGCCGACATTGATGAGCAGGTCTGGAAACATGACTCTAGAGGCATTGGAGGCTTCAGTTCTTATGCATTTCAAGACTCGGAAACATGAGCCTATTTGGAAATGGGAAAGACCCGAAAGCATTAGAGGGGGTGAACTAAAAGTATATAGAATATATCCTATTGGGTTGACACAGAGACAGGCTTTGTATACCTTCAAGTTCAAAGATGATGCTGATCTTAGGAACCACATCGAAAACAACCCTTGTGCCAAGTTCGAAGTCATATTCGTCTAGATCGATGATTCCATTACGTCATCTCCGAGCACATTTTACGGAGTCCCGGTTATCTGCAGTACTTTGCTGAGATGCATTTCCTGAGAGATCATTGATGAACTGCTAAGTTATAGTTCATTTGATGAACAATTATCAACTTTTCCGGACGGCTCGATTTGAGCTTTAGTTTCAAATTTTTCATAGTTTTGAGTAGTTTGATCAACCTCTTTCATAGCACTATTAATTATTTGATGAATTTGTTTTCCTTTAGATATGTTAGATTATTCTCACATTACTCTAGACACCAACGAATTCATCTCATTATCTCGTACCATTTTATCAATTTAAATTTAACCAAAACTTCTATAAATTCACGAAACTTTAACCTCAAGAGGAAAATGACTCATATGACATGGAATTTACAAGCGCGTTAACAAACAATCATGCTCAACAATCCAAGCTTTTCGACCAATTACAAGAACCAGAGAACAGGTTTCAGAGATTAAAAAAATACAAAAGCCACGCGTGGAATGTGGGTACAGTCAAATCAAACTTAAAGGTTATGTTGCTGGTACTCAAGTGTGAACGACATGAAATTTTCTTCATATATTTGGAAAGTACCACGTTTTGGGCAATTGTCATTGTCTTTTTTCGTTAGAAAATTAACGCTGAGTGGAACGTTAATCTACTAATTGAGATATGATAAAAATCATATTTTAATGATGTATGTTGGCATTGTCATTTCTTTTAAGTACTGACTTGACATGATATTTTAAGCACTGACTCGATGGTATAATGTAAACGAAGAATCGATTCATAAAATACAACTCAAATGATTCTGGGACTCTATATTGAATTGTTATTTTAAAGTCGAATACGAGTAGTTTACGAATACAATGTATTATTTACATCTTATGTTGTCATAAATTTTTGTTAGCAAAACATGTAGTGCCTTGAGGATAAAGAAAGCCTACATATTAAGGGATTCGAACACAAACTGAACAGATTTTTGAGTTCATCACCTATTTAAAAATTCTTAGATAACTTATAGAGATTAGAGCGAGGAAGGGCAAATGAATATATTAGGAATCATTTGGTCTTAATAAAGATACATGCAAAAGATATCTGGGGTAAATGAACCGAGCTTGAACGAATAAGGTTGTGTTTGTATTTGTTTGTTTATTTTTGAAGGTATTCATATTGTTTTGTGTTCTTTAATTTTTTAGTAGTGTGTTTGTGTTCGTTTATTTATTTTTGAAACTTTTCGTGTTAGTTTATTTAACATTCGCGAATGTGTTCGTTTAATGTTAGTGAAAAGATGCGCTTAAATGTTTGCAAATATATTCGTTTACCGTTCGTGAATATGTTCGTTTATCGTTCACAACATGTTCGTTTATCGTTTGGTGACTTAGAATAAAACAGAAAAGAGAGCAACGTGAAAGGTTTTCTTTTTGTGCTATAACAGGGAAAATAGTAAAACTACACAACTAGTGCTTAAACTTATTAGGATTCATAGTTTAAACTCTAAATTTATCATATATTCAATTTAGTATGTACCTTCACTAATATTGAAAATATAAAAAAAATAAACGAGCGAGCTTGTTCGTGAACATAGATGAACCGAGCACACCTCTGTTCGTGTTTCTTCGTTTATTAAGTGAACATAAATTTTTTTTTCATACTCGTTTATATAGCTTAATAAACGAACATTATACGAACGATTCACCGAATTATCTGTTCATTTACACCCCTATACATGTCTATAAATTTTCCAGGTAAGACATTTATGCATGTAATTTTACGACTTGCTTAAGCTATTTATTTTTTCAGGAGGTGTTGTCTTGTTTACTAGATCACAAACTCCTCACAAGCGTCAAGGAATTCGTGTCAATGTTGTTTGTCCTGAGGTAAAATGTGTAGTTAATTTGAAGAATCTGGGATGTTCAGCGTTAACCTATTGAAAATTGTTCCTTTGACTTTGAACTTGGACGTAGTTTGTTGGAACAGCGATGGGAGAAAAAGCGGAACCCAATTTTGTTTCTTTAACGGGAGGCTTTACTCCAATGGAAACGGTGGTATGTAAAATATATTTGTATTTTGTTATCTAACTGATTATCGTATATCTATTTAAGGGTTTAATTCTTAAAGAATTCGAGTTATTAGCATCTCTACTTCAAAGACAGTTATATAATTTTTTGTACAATTGTAATATCTTTTCTATGCATATTTCTAGGTGCTTTCGAGCTGATAACGGATGAAAGCAGAGCTGGTTCTTGCTTGCCTATGGATTTCAAACCGCAGAGGGTTGCAGTATTGGCCCATTGCAACTGAATAAGCAAAATACTCCTCAAGTTCCACGAACAACAAAATCCCGTTCCAAGCTGCTTTAACTTCCCAACTTCCTCAGAATTTTGAGCAACTGTACGTAAAAAGTGTCAAAATCCCGTCAATACTCCCTCTGAATTGGAGTAACCAAGCTGATTAAAACATTTAATTACCATCATAGAAGATAGGATGTGATTGTAGTAATTAAAGATACTGATCAGAGCGATTTTGCTCTTCCTCAGTGTTGTGCGTACTTTGACTCATCATTTCCGTGATGCAACCCATGTAATAAGTGCACCATTGAAACTACCTCTTGAATCAGACCATGTTCTTCTCAAAGACATCTATGCCGGTGTAAACGCTGGTGACTAACGGTATCAGTCTGCGTCATTTTATAATCCATCGTCCATGCTATTTCCATATTCTGAGACTGATCACACCACAGTTTGCATAACTAAGATCTTGATTGCCATCTGATTGAAGGCTTTGTAATGCTGTCATTTGATAATTTCTGCATTTGGTTGGTTTCATGGAAGGAACATCTTACTCAGTAGTCTTCCAGGCTCTCAAGGTGTTTCCTAAAGGACTGGATATTGTGTACGAATGTGTTGGTGGTAACATGTTTGATTTGTGCATTAATGCTTTGGCTATCCGTGGACGACTCATTGTGATAGGAATGATCTCTCAGGTTGGTTTTGTTTACCATAACTTTTAGTTTTAAACGATTGTGAGTTTGATCTTACGTTCTATTAGCTCAGATTTGACTCTTTTGGGTCATTTTTAAGATGAGATATTTGCTAATCCGAACTCATGACCTTTGCTTAAAAGGGACTTAGACCAATTGGTAGTTGGTATTGAATATGTTGCCGTTCATTCTCCATATTCGCAATTTTTATACTTTTGTACTTATTATTTACAGTATCAAGAGAAGCATGGATGGATGCCATTGAATTACCCTGGACTTGTTGAGAAGCTTTTGGCCAAAAGTCAAACTGTGGTATGTAGTCGGTAAAATTTGTCTCAGTGATCTTAAAAGTATCAATATATACACTTATGTTGTCTTCTTTGCACTCGGCATTTGAAGTCTCGTGATTCGATTGTATTGAAAGTTGCTTTTGTTTTCAGGTTGGCTCTGTCCTGTTTCAGTATAGCAGTTTCTGGAAGCAACACCTGATTAGACTCTTTCATCTTTATTCTTCAGGAAAGCTTAAGGTAATTAATTCATATATCTTGAACTCCAACACTCGGTTAGCATTGCATTTGCAGTGAATTCGACTCTAACAGCAATGCCATACGATTTACGAAGCCTTAGTTTTCTCCCTTTCCTAACAGGCTGTAATTCGATTCTAACAGGTTTGGATAGGGTCGCGGATGCTGTCGAGCATTTGCATTCGGGCAAAAGTACTGGCAAGGTGAGCACAAATTTTCAGTTTCAAGCAAAACCAAATCAGGCCTATAATGCGTTTTATGTTACTATCAAATCATATAGGTTGTGGTTTGCGTTGATCCGAGCTTTGGACATCAAATGGCAAAGTTATGATTCGAAGCCGACGACATGATCGTTCATCCCCTCCCGGATAAGGTGTTAAACTAACTAATTGCTTGCTTTTTGCTTCACGTCTCTTTAATATACTCGTACAAAGATGAGATACCATAATGAATAAAGAAGTATAAGATGGCATTGAAATGCTGCTCTCTTTTGTATTGTATCAGACAAATTCTAAAAGTAGCACAGTATTTTTCATAGTTGTACATTCAAACATCCAAATGAGAAGGTATACACCAGTTGAGCTCTTTTTTTTATAATCCGAACACTTAATTTTGAGGGAGTCTCCTAGGAATCAAACTATTGAAAGACTACCGAAAAAATCGTAAATCAGACTCGAGCGACGGGAAAAACTATCCACGAACTCAAAACGAGTATTCAAATCCACTCCGAAAGTTCAAAGTAGGAAAGATCAATAATATATAATATAACCGACATCTTGATCCAACGTGATATCAAATCAACCCTTAAAAAAACAAATAAAAAAACGACCGAAAAATATATCAAACGACAAAAAACGTGTCACGAAGACAAATAAAAACGTAATATACAAACATATTTATTGAAAATAAAAAAATAAAAGAAAATAACAATACGTTATAAGAAAAAAAATATTGACAGTCGAGTCAACAAATTAAAATTAATACCGTCATCAATAAACAAAGACAAAAAAAAAAAAAGTGTGTGTGTTTTCATTTGCTTTGATGTTTGTAATAATTATGGGCTGCTTCGATTTTCGATTAAATCAATTTTTACACGACTTGGTTTTAGATATAATCAAAGTTCACTAACAAAAATATATAAATTATATCATCTTAGCACATATCTTACTACTTAACTATTCACATCTTAGAATCCTCAAACTCAAGCACAGTTAACCACGTTTTTTATACACACAATCCTATACCTCATATACCATATAGTAAATATGGTTCGCAGACTACCTGTACACCTCTTGCCAGAGGACTATATCACAAGCAGAAGAACAGTTAACCAACACAATTTTCTGCAAAAAGGTCCTCCGACCTCGTTTCCGGTGCTCGAGTGAAGAAATCATGAGTCATTCATATTTAAGTGATGGATTTGTTTTGCTTGTAAAATGTCTTGACCGGTAATGACTCACTGGGAACATTATAATCTCGAACGGCGATTGCACTTGATACCAAGGAAAGGCGAATGCCTTCGAGCAGATGCAAATGGCTGTCCC